CATTTGCATGAATATTGGGCCATCTTTATTGTCAAACCCTGCTTTTAAGAAGACTACAACTTTAAAATTATTTTCAACCAGCTAAAGCGGCAAGTGGGAGTGACTGACCGCATCTAATGTCAAGCCCTAATTTCTAATATGATTAACAATAAGCAGTTTTAGTTATCAATAATGGCCTGCTTGGGAATGAGTTAAATAATGTGAAGTGTGTGTGTGTGTGTGTGTGTGTGTGTACCTTGTATTTCTAACATTGTGGGGACCAAATATCACACAAGTATAGCAAAACCAGTAAATTCAGACCTTGTAAGGATTTTTTTAGTCTCCATGAGACAGAAAACGGCTCATAAATGACCCAGAACTATTTTATGGAGTATTTTGAATTTTTTTTAAAATGTAGATTGATTCATGTGAGGGTTGGTTTAGGGCAGGGGTTTTCAAAGTGTGAGGCGCGCCTCCCCTGGGGGGCGCCAGAGCATGTCAGGGGAGGCGCGGGAAAAATATTATATAATAAAAATATAATTATTAAGTTTAATTATTATATGTATTTTTTATTATATTTAAACGTTTTAATTAAACAAAGCTGAAAAAAATAATACGTCAAAAATAAGAAAACCTTTTTTTACCCAGAAGGCCATAGCTGTGAATTCGCTTCTGTTTGGCCTGCCAATACAGGTAGCTATATGCCTGCTAATTATGCCTGCTAATACAATGGATCGGTTTCTGAGACCCCCCGATTCAAAGCCTTCAAGTTCAGGGCTTAAACCCAAAAGACGACGATATGATGATCAGCATTTGAGTTTAGGATTTACGTGGACAGGACCAGCTGATGAACCACGACCTTTAAGTGTGGTTTGTCAAGATATTTTGGCTAATGACAGCATGAGACCCGCTAAACTTCGACTGTTTTGACTGGGATGAACAGTTCTTGGATCTGTTCTATTCATATTGAACCATCATCCTAGTTTTAAAAACGTTATATTAAAATACTTGTTATTACTCTGTAAATAATTGCACTTTCATGCAAATGATGATAAAAGTGAGTTAACAGTCTGACATCTGTCTGTGTCTTTATATATACTGTATATATATATATATATATATATATATATATATATATATATATATATATATATATGTATGTGTGTGTGCATGTTTGGGAGGAGGGGGGCGCCAATGGATAAGTTGTGTCAAAAGGGAGGCCCACTGTCTTAGACTTTGAAAACCCCTGGTTTAGGGGTAGGGGAGAGAATATACAGCCTATGCAGTATAAACATAATTACATTTATGGGAAGTCCCCCAAAAGATAGCTGTACAAGTGTGTGTGTTTGTGCATGATTCAGGCAGTGCCTCTGTATGTGTGTGTGTGTGTGTGTCTGTGATTTAACATGCATGCTTGTATTTACTGTGCACAGGGACACAGAACAGGTGGATGATGGGATTCCTGGGGGCTTTCCTTCTGTCGGTTCCATGTTTAGACGTCACAGAAGGAATTGCACACAGAAATCACAGTATGTCCACACACACATGCTTCTGGCCCAGGATCATATGGATTATAAAATCAAAGCTGAGGTTTCAAACATACTCACACACACACACACACACACACACACTTGAGCGTGGTGTAATTAAAACGGTCCGTCTGCAGGGTATATGCTATATATAGAGCGTCAGACACGTGATTCAGATCCTCCATCGGCTCAAAAGTGTTTAAAACAGCAGCAAACTTCCACACTATCAGATCACAGGCCTAATCTGTATCTAATGCCGTTATCGGTTCAAGTAATACGCTTATGAATATGCACAGAAATCCATGTGCTTTGAATACATTATCCATCCAATAAATGAAGTGGGATTGGGCTAAGAAAGATGAATTACTCAAAGACCCGTTTGGCTTTTTTAACCGCATAGAAAACTAGGCCAGCGTGATGAAGCTTCTTTTGATAATATTTGAGATCTGTCTCCACATCTATGTATTTCCCAGTGAAACAGATTAAACTGAAACATTATGTCAAGAAAACAGACGTGGATGCCAAGCTGATTTAAATGATTAACGGCAGGGAAACAGCTGGAAATGGGGTTACAAATAATCATGTTTTTTGCTAAATGATGCAAGGATTTTTAATTATTTTTGATTTGTATGCAATGAATGTTTTGGACTGATTGACACAAACAATTATTCTATGAAATCTAATAAAAACTAATCCTAACTCATTTAAATAGTTTAATCCCTAATAAAAAGCATGTAATAAACCATGTAATATAAAAAACTTTATATGAAAAAAAAAAGTCAAAAAAATAATAAATGTTTGAAATGTGTGAACAATATTTGAGAAATAGGCCTTTTGTTTATATATATAAAAAGTTTGAGATCTTTGAGTTAATAAAAAATGTGAGTAAAATAGAGTGAAATGAAACATGCCTGGATAGCCCTAACCTAAAGGGCTGATCGCCACTCCCTAAAGGACTGATAGACCAGCCCTAAACAACTGATTGCCACTCCCCTAAAGGGCTAATCTCCACTTCCTAAAGGACTGATCACCACGCCCTCAAGGTCTGATAACACCGCCCTAAAGGACTGATAGCCCAACCCTAATCAACTGATTGCCACACCCTAAAGGACTGATTACTACTCCCCTAAAATACTGATTACCACTCCCCTAAATGACTGATTACCACTCCCCTAAATGACTGATTACCACACCCTAAAGGACTGATTACCACTCCCCTAAATGACTGATTACCACACCCTAAAGGACTGATTACCACTCCCCTAAATGACTGATTGCCACACCCTAAAGGACTGATTACTACTCTTCTAAATGACTGATTACCACACCCTAAAATACTGTTTACCACTCCCCTAAATGACTGATTGCCACTACCATATATAACTGATTACTACTCCCTTAAATGACTGATTAACACACCCTAAAAGACTGATTACCACTCCCCTAAATGACTGATTACCACTCTCTAAAAAAATTATTACCACTCCCCTAAATGACTGATTACCACTACCCTAAATGACTGATTGCCACACCCTAAAGGACTGATTACTACTCTTCTAAATGACTGATTACCACACCCTAAAATACTGTTTACCACTCCCCTAAATGACTGATTGCCACTACCATATATAACTGATTACTACTCCCTTAAATGACTGATTAACACACCCTAAAAGACTGATTACCACTCCCCTAAATGACTGATTACCACTCCCTAAAAAAATTATTACCACTCCCCTAAATGACTGATTACCACTACCCTAAATGACTGATTGCCACACCCTAAAGGACTGATTACCACTCCCCTAAATGACTGATTGCCACACCCTAAAAAAATTATTACCACTCCCCTAAATGACTGATTACCACTCCCCTAAATGACTGATTGCCACTACCATATATAACTGATTACTACTCCTATAAATGACTGATTAACACACCCTAAAAGACTGATTACCACTCCCCTAAATGACTGATTACCACTCCCTAAAAAAATTATTACCACTCCCCTAAATGAATGATTACCACTAACCCCTAAATGACTGATTGCCACACCCTAAAGGACTGATTACCACTCCACTAAATGACTGATTGCCACACCTTAAGGGACTGATTACTACTCTTCTAAATGACTGATTGCCACACCCTAAAAGACTGATTACCACTCCCCTGAATGACTGATTACCACACCCTAAAATACTGATTACCACTCCCCTAAATTACTGATTACCACACCCTAAAAGACTGATTACCACTCCCCTAAATGACTGATTACCACACCCTAAAAGACTGATTACCACTCCCCTAAATGACTGATTGCCACACCCTAAAAAAATGATTACCACTCCCCTAAATGACTGATTGCCACACCCTAAAAGACTGATTACCACACTCTAAAAGACTGATTACCACTTCCTAAAAAAATGATTACCACTCCCCTAAATGACTGATTGTCACGTCCTAAAAGACTGATTACCACACCCTAAAAGACTGATTACCACTCCCCTAAATGACTGATTACCACACCCTAAAATACTGATTACCACTCCCCTAAATGACTGATTGCCACACCCTAAATGACTGATTGCCACACTCTAATGGACTGATTGCCACTCCCCTAAATGACTGATTGCCACACCCTAAAGGACTGATTACCACTCCCCTAAATGACTGATTGCCACACCTTCAAGGACTGAACAGCACGCCCTAAAGGACTGTAAACCTGCTCTTAATGACTGGTCACTACTCCCCCAAATGACTGATAGCCACTCCCCCAAATAACTGATTGCCATGCCCTAAAGTATTGATTGCCACTACCCTAAATGTCTGATAGTCACAACCCAAAATGACTGATAATCGTGCCCCTAAATGACTAATAGCCTTGCCCTAAAGAACAGATAGTCCCTCCTTAAGGGACAATAAGCCCTGCCAATAATGACTAGTTGTCACTCCTCTAATTGACTGGTAGCCCCGCCCTGGGACTGATCGCCACATTCTAAATGACTGATAGTCCCTCCCCAAAGGACTGATAGCCCAGCCCATAAGGACTAATTGTCCCTCCCCTAAATGACTGATAGCTCCGCCCTAAATGACCGATAGCCCCGCTATAAATGAATTCCATGTGACCAGAAGTGAAGGAAAGTTGTTTCGCAGGGGCGAGGGAAGGTTTATGGTACTTGATTTAAAAATATGACGGCAAAATAATTTCTTTACGAAAGAAGGAACATTGTTTTATTCAAGCACCATGTTGTGAGAATTGTGTGTGTTGGGTCATCAAATTAATTGAATTTGTTCATGTTTTTTCAACATGCATGTTTTTTTTCTTTAAGTTGCAGTGTGTTTGAGCTTTCTCAGCCACCGTACAAAGCCAACTATGCTAATGCAAATACAATGTAAACTGTAAATTCTATAGGTCAGTTAAGAACAATAAGAAACGTCTGCACATTATTGAGTGGTGTGTGAGCAGGACAGTGTGTGTGTGGGTTTGCTCACCGCGTGTGTGTAGGTGCTGTAGGTGCTGCTGTAGGTGCTGAACGGCAGGGCCACACTGGGGTTGAAGATCCCGAACTGACCCACCATCTGCTGCATACGGCGGATCGTCCTCTCTTTATCAGTGTCAGCGAACTTCACCACCAGACTCGACGATGCGCCCTAAAAAAAACCACAGACACCGATGAAGATTTTTATTTACTAAATCTAAAGATACATTTAATTGGGTGAGTGGAAAGCCCTATGAATCTGCCATTATATGTCATTGAAAACAGGTGACAGGTTAAGGCAAAGGGGTCATACAAGAGCACGAGAGAGGACTTGGGGATACAATGAGAACCATCTGTGTCAGAAAGGCATGAAATGTATACAACATATGTTGAAACTGTCATGTATGTTTGAAAAGACACATACTGTATGGAAGAGAAGAGTCCAGTTTAGATGTTTCAATCATAGATACTAGTCATAATTACCAAATGTGAACTGTATGTGTAAAACAGTTATGAATACGTTAGATCTTTACATTAAGAGGGCCACCAAGAAGAAGAGGCTTTGAATTGGGGTTGTAAAAGAAGAGGAGCTGGGAGAGGCCTGTTGAACCAGTAAACAGCTGTGAAAACACAAAGGTCGGAGGAAGCCAGGATAAAGGGGATAGCAAATGTCAGGGACATTAGATTGTCCTGGAGTGAGACTAGGGATGGGTCTGCTAATGGACGTCTCTGCTTTTTTGGAAAATGTTCCAATAAAGTATACTCTTCTGCTATTCATGACCCCCAGTCTGAGTTTGATTGATTAAGAGAAAAGAGGAAAACCACCAGAAATGGCGTCCCTGGGTGGGCTCGAACCACACACACAGGAATTAAACGACAAACAATTGAATTGAAATCAAAAATATAAGAATTAAAGTAAAACTATATTAATATATACAGTATCAACTAGGGTTGTAACAATATACAGGTATGACGGTCTACCACGATTTGAACGTGCACGATTATCATACCATGAACAATTGCATATCAACGGTTTTAACCCTTAAAAACCGAGACAGCCGCCCGCGGCTAAAAATAAGTATTGCTCTTAAATGTTTAATAACTTTTGATCCGCTGATCCGATTCATACAATTCAAAGATTAGCATAAAGAAGAGAATCTCAGCTTTCCAGTGCTGTATCACGTAACATTCGGACTTTCAGAGGCTCCGGAATCAGTGCGGTTACGTCATCAAAATTTGACAACGCTGATTTGACAAAGAAACGCTCGTCACTGTGTCTCCGGACAAACCAGACATGATACATTGATGGATTGTCCCTCCTCCATGCCCAGATTGGTTCAAACTCGCTATATCACAACCAATAAGCATAGGTTTCGCTTTTGTTTGTGGAGCAATGAGCTTTCTGAACAACACGGAATGAGAGATAGGCATACATTTATGCGCGGCTTTATGCATTTCTTCATCACAACCTAGACTGAAAAAAACAACGCTTTAAATACATGTTTACAGCCATAAACTTGGTATTGCACTTTTGGTCTCCCATTTATCCTGCTTATAAGGAAGGACAGTTTAAGTTTATTTTTGTCTAATCTTAAAAGACCTTGCTTGTTTATTCCTTCTAATTTAATTTATTAAAATGGGAGATTTTTCAGTTTGTTTTTATAAAAGACTTCTATAGTTCTATTAAAATGGTTCTTTCAAAAGTTAGTTGAAATAAAACCTTTGTTCAGTCAGAAAACGTGTTCTTATTCTTTTCAGGGTCTTTGCTATGAGAATTACTATTTAATACCGTATACCGCGAAACCGTCAAACCGTGGTATTGTTTTAGACGATTATCATACCGTAAAAAATTCATACCGTTACAACCCTAGTATCAACAAAACTAAATCATTTAAAAAGATATATTCCAGAAATATTCCATAGACGAAAGGAGATTAGACAGACTAATATAGACTTTTTTTTTAAAACAGCGTACAGTAAAAACTTCCGTCTCTGTAATCTGTTATATGTCTAAATCTGCCATTTTTCAATTTGTTGCTCTCTCTTGTTGCTAATAAACGTGCGGTGGAGATGTGAACTCATTAAAAGGCTCTTGATGATTTACTGCAGCTCTTGACCTTTATCTCCCTGACCTGTTAAACCACAGCACATCGATCGGCCCTAAAGGCCATCGGATTCCCCTCAGGAGACCCTGAAGAAGATCTGAAGACCGCATGGAAACACTGCAGATCAGGAGACAAACTCACACTGAATCATTACTTCTAATACTGTACATGTGGACCTATAAACATATTCAGCTCAGATTTAGCTGTCTAAGCTACTTATTTGAATTTAGTCTACCTTGATGTACTGATGTAATTGAAAGCTAGGGTGAAACGGGGGCGAAGTGGGTGGCACAATCTCCTCACAAAACATGGATTCTGGTTTGAGCCCCGGCTGGGTCAGTTGTTGTTTCTGTGTGGAGTTTGTATCTTCTTCCCGTGTTTGCATGGGTTTCCTCCGGTTGCTCCGGTTTCCCCCACAGTCCAAACACATGCGCTATAGGTGAATTGATTAGGCTAAATTGGCTGTAGTGTGTGTATGGGTGTTGGCAGTTCATTCCGCTGGGGCTACTCCTGATAAATAAAGGGACTGAGCCAAAAGAAAATTAATGAATTAATTTCTACAAAGTCTAGACTACTAAATTGGTGAAATAAAATTATTCTAAGATTATACTTGGAATTCTGAGGAAAACAGCTATGTATGTTAGAGTAAATTCAGACTTCAGCCAAAAAAAATAAATAAATAAAAAATAAAAATTCAAAGGAAATGTCAATTTAACCCAGAATTATGAAAAAGATTTATAGAATTATTATCAGGGCTTGACATTAACTTTTTTGATCACCAGCCACTGTGGCTAGTAGATTTCCAACAATACTAGCCTCTCGCCATTTTCTTTTCGCCACACTTTTCGTGTTGGGATAATATATTTTATATGCATAAATTTGACTTTGGCTTGCTAAAATGACTTGGTATAGGTTTAACTTCTTGTGTGTGTTGTGTATTAGCTTGCTCAGTGTGCACGAGTGTCGGTTTGTGTCGCAATGCAATCAGTTTTCATTTCACTTGACTTTTTAGGGCTCAAAATTAAGGATTTACCAAATTTATCTCTGATCACACCAAGTATTTCTTCTCAATTTTTAATGTGTAAAAACAAGGAAAATATAGCGTTATAGGTGCACAAAAAAAAAATTCTACACATAAACAAGGAGTAAACAAGGAGTAATCCCCCATTAAAGCGATGTTATTGTTGAATAAAATATAATTAAACCATTTTAACAAAAATAACTGTAAGCGAAAGAAAGCAGATGAAACATACTGTGTTTGATAATGAAAGGATGTTCACGTGCACATGGTTAATCTAGGCCTTTTAATAATCTGTTCAAAGAATAAGTAAAATGAAAGCAGTGACCACTACTGCTTACAAAACAATATGTATTTTTTTTTTATCTTGAGCTCTGGAAAGCAGCTGGACTGTCTGTGGATGAACGATCATCGCTCTTTGTCCAGTCTATTTTAAAGGGAACCAGTTGCGCTTCCTTTAGGCATGGTTGGTTTGCGCAAGTAAATGGGAGCGCGCACGCTTTTTAACAGTCGCGCGCATCACATCCCCTATGCGCGCGAGTGATCATCCTCTCGTTCGGTATTTACTTTCTTTTTTGCTGTTTTGCTTGCGCGAACATAGTTATTTTTGTCAGTCGTGCTGCTTCTCGATTTTAAGATCACATTTGCCTGAATATGGGGCCATGCTTATTGTCGAACCCTGGAGATTTCCAACCAGCCAAAGTGGCTAGTGGAGGTGTCTGTCTAACCCGCCAGAGCATGTTAATGTAAAGCCCTGATTATAATAATTTAGAACTTTGCTGAATTTATTTTGGAATTGTGAGACTATATTCAGAATAAGGCAAAAAGTTAGAATTGTGAGATCAAACTCGAAGAAAAATAATTGCGAAATTACACTCAGAATTCGAACTCTAATGCTGTGTTCACACCAGACGCGAAAGAAGCATTGAGCGCAAGTGATATACATGTTAAGTCAATGCAAACGCACTAATAGACATCCTGCAGCACAATACGCGCAAATGAGTTTCGCTCGAGTTAAAAAATCTGAACTTCAGCGGACATTCGCGCCACGTTGACCAATCAGGAGCTTGCTCTTGTGGGGGCGTGATTGTGACGTAGCATCTGCTGTTGGTGTCCCGGGGGAAATCCTCCAACCGATACCAACAACAGTTCATCAAACTGGGCTCGGGTCAGTCAGAAGCACCGCTGAAAGCCTCCATCATCCGGATTAAGCTTCTGGAGGAGTTTATGGGCTCACAGTGCTGAAATCACCTCTGAAAGGATCTAGTGGACTCAGACACGGCCCTAAACGTATCAATGCTGTTTATCAGTCTTCATAAAGCACAAAAACACTGATTTTCTCCATAAAATCCATGTTAGCCATTTAGCAACGAAGCTACAGTCAGACACAAGACAGAAGCCCTGCCCATCATGTAAATCCTATCTGTTCTGAAGTGAATTTGATGCGCAAATGAAGCGGATTTGACGCGTGAATGAAGCGAGTAAACTCAAATGTTCACGCAACTATTTACTGCTCGTTCTGCATCTGGTGTGAACAAAGCATAAGTCCAATTCTAATTCTGTTCTAATTCTAATTCTATAACTGTAAAAACCTTAGAACTATGAAAAAGATACTTGTGAAATTAAACTTAGAAATCTGAAAAAAAATGGATTGTGAGATTAAACTCTAAATTCTAAAGAAAACAATTACAAATGTGAGATTAAATTGAGAATTCTGAAAAATGTAAATCAATAAAATCAATTAATGTTAATTAAACCTAAATTTCTGAGGAAAGTTATTACAAATGTGAGATAAAATTTAGAATTCAGAGAAAAGTGAAGAGTCAATTAAACCCAGTATTAGAATTATAATTTAAAATTTTGCTGAAAAATTAAGAATTGTGAGGCTAAATTAGGAATAATAAAACAAAAAAGGTAGAATTGTGCGATTAAACTTAGAATTCAGAATTTTTTTTTTGTGAAATTAAATTTAAAAAACTGTTAGAATTGTGAAAAATCTCAGCATTCTGAAGTTTGAATTATAACTGTGAAATTAAACTAATGTAAAAAAAATAATTGAATTGACAGAATTTCTATAAATTTTTATCATTTAGAATTTAGCCAAAAAAGGAAGAATTGTGAGGCTAAATTAGGAATAATGAACCAAAAAACGTTAGAATTGTGTGATTAAACTTGGAATTCAGAAAAATATTTTGTGAAATTAATTTTTTTTTTTAAATTCTGTTAGAATTGTGAAAAATCTCAGCATTCAGACATTCTTATATTGTGAAATTAAACTAATGTAAAAATTAATTGTGAGATTTAACTCTGAACTTATATAAGTTATTAGAATTTAGAATTTAGCAAAAAAACTGAAGATTTCTAAGGCAAAGTCATTTAATGCGATTAAACTTAGAATTCAGAAAAATATTTTGTAAAATTATTATTCTTTTTAATTCTTTAAAAAATTCTGTTAGAATTGTGAAAAATCTCAGCATTTAGAAATTCTTATAACTAAATTATGAAATTAAACTAATGTAAAAACTAATAATTGTGAGATTAAACTCTGAACTTATGTAAATTATTTTAATTTAGAATTTTGCTAAAAAAACGGAAGAATTGTGAGGCAAAATTATGAATAATAAAAGCAAAAAAGTAGGAAATGTGCGATTAAACTTGGAATTTAGAAATGTTTTTCTGAAATTAAGCACCAAATTCTTTGAAAAACGTAGAATTGTGAAAAATCTCAGCATTCTGAAATTAAACAAAAAAAAAAAATTGTGAGATTAAACTCAGCATTCTGAAATAAAAATAAATAAAATTCTAAAAAGTTTGAACTGTGAAAAACTAAGAATTTTAAAAAAGATTATTGAAAGAAATTTTCATTTTCCTTCGACTTAGTCTCTATATCAGGGGTGGCCACAGCAGAATGAACCGCCAACTATTCCAGCATATGCAACCCAGTACTGGGAAACAAGCACTTTGGCCAATTTAGCTTATCCAATTCCACTATAGCGCATGTGTTTGGACTGTGGGGGAAACCCACGCCAACACAGGGAGAACATGCAATCTCCACACAGAAATGCCAACTGGGGAGGTCAGGACCTGAACCAGCGGGCTTCTTTTGCTTTGAGGTGATTGAGTGGTACTAACCACTGAGCCACCTTGCTGCCTTTGAAAAGAAATAAACTCATACTGTAAGCCTAATAACATGTAGAATTTTGATCGTATTGTAAGCTCAGAAAAAAAAAAACAGTAATTATTTAAATAAAATGTAAAACTTGAGAGATTAAACAGAATTCTAAAAAAACAATTAATGATATGTGGAATTATGAAAATATATAATTGGAAAAACCTCAGAAATATGAAAAATAATCCAATTTAACGCAAAAAAAAAAATCACAAAAAATGTAAAAAAAAAAAAAAAAAACCCAAAAGGGTGTATATTTTTATTTTATTTTGTATGATTTATTCTGAGAATTAAAAGAAGAGAGTTAAAAAAAGTTATTATTTCAATTATTTATTCCATGCAGAGTAAACAAGCTTCTACACATTTATTGATACCACTATATTCTAAATTTACATTTATGTCAAGGTGGGGGCATCAAATTTGTGCATATTTTGTAAAGGTGTATTTTAAAATGCTACTCGCTTAGAAGCCAGACCGCCAGGACAGATCTGAGACCTGACACTGAACATCATCGTGACAAGGTGTAAAATGCTGCGGAAATATTTGAATGCATTAAAATTGGCGTGATGGAAAGAGTCGCTCTGCAGGACTCAAACAAACTGTAAGGCTGAGCTGTTAATGAGACTCGGCTAACTCAACGCATGGCTCTGAATGTGTAATGAGGAACTATTAAAATGTCCCTGAAACTCAGAACAGCTAAACATTCACTCACTGGCTCTGTTCCAAACCGTAGTGTGCTGCTGCCTACATAGAAAACAGCCTTTATATGGTGCATCTGAAGTACAATGAAAACTTAAAAAAGCAACTAGTTTACTGTGCACTGACAACAAACTTCTGAATTGTTAGGGTTAAGGTTAGGGCTAGGGTTAGACCACAGAAATGACAAAAATCTCAAATCATGCTATAAGTCATCTCATGTGCTGATATATACTGATAACAAACTTCTTAACAGCTAGGATCAAGGATAGGGTTAGGCCACAAAAATGATAAAAAACTCATAATTTCATAATATGTCATTCATATGTCATCCATGTCAAATCATATCGTGGCAAAGTTCTGAACAGTGAACAGTTAGGGTTAATGGTTAATTTTATGAGCTTTTTAGCTCATAAAAAGATAACAATGTAAATAAATATAATAAATGTAAATAAATATAAAAAAAATATATAATAATAAATAGAAATAAATATAATAAATAGATACAAATATAAATAAATAAATATATTAAATAAATGAATGTAAATAGAATATAATAAATAATATAAATATATTAAATAAATCTTTGATATAAATGTAAAATGTAAATAAATAAAATACATTTAAATAAATATAATAAACTGCTAAAATAGAACTATATAAACTATATAGAACTATATATATAATAAATAAATATTATAAATAAAATATAATAAATATATTTAAATATATTAAAAATAAAAATATATAAATATATAAAATATATAAATATATATTTATTTAATATATAAATATATTAAATAAATAAATACAAATAAAATATAATGAATAATATAAATATAATAAATCAATTTAAATATATTAAATAAATAATGAATATAAATGTAAAATGTAAATAAATAAATAAATAAATAAATAAATAAATAAATAAATATAAATGTAAATAATTATAAATAAATATAAAAATAGATAATAAAAAACTATATAAATATAATATATAAATTAAAATAATAATAAATCAAAATAAATATAATAAATCAATTTAAATATGTTAAATAATTAATAAATATAAATGTAAATAAATAATAAATATAATGTAAATAAATAAATAAATATAATAATACATATATGAAAAAATAAAAACAATAATTATAATAAAAAATAAAAACAAATATAAATAAATAATAAATAAATAAATAGTATATATATATATATATATATATATATATATATATATATATATATATATATATATATATATATATATATATATATATGATTTATTGTAATTGTAATATTATTATATTATTCATAACAAATAATATTTTATTATCATTCATGCAATGAGAATTGACTGACAATCTGGATGACTGCCTGACATCCTGCAAATATGTAATAGTCTTTTAAATGTTTCAGTAATCAATTTCAATCATCAAAGTAATTTATTTCATTTTTAAACAAAAGGACCTGAGTAACGAATCAATTTTAACAAACAAAAAAATATATAATCATACCAACAAAAAAAAGACAAGAAATGATTTTGATTCACCAAATTCTTTTTTGATTCGCAGGCAACTCAATAAGGTTTTAGAACAAACCCAGTTCTTTTCCCCATCCCTCGTTCCTCTCACTCATCCATTCTGCCGTCGACTATGCAAATGCCTTTAATTATCGGTATGCAAAGTGTGTGTGAGTGTGAGATACGGCCTTGAACGTTTCATTTGAGGATAATTACTCTCAAGGTTGAGCTGATCTGGAAACAGCAGTTTACAGTAGTTCATCACAGCATTTAGTTCTCCACCTGTGCGTGTGTGTGTGTGTGTGTGTGTGTGTGTGTGTGTGTGTGTAAACAATCAAAATGATTAATCTTTAATAAATAATCTAATTGGGCGACACAGTGTCTCAGTGGTTAGATCTGTCACCTCACTGCAAGAAGGTCACTGGTTTGAGTCCAGGCTGAGTTAGTAGGCAATTCTGTGTGGAGTTTGCATGTTCTCCCCATGTTGACGTGGGTTTCCTCCCGGTGCTCTGGTTTCCCCCATATTCCAAACACATGAGCTATAGGTGAATTGAATACTAAGTTGGCTGTAGTGTATGTGTGTAAATGAGTGTGTATGGATGTTTTACAGTGCTGAGTTGCAGTTGGAAGGGTATCTGCTGTGTAAAACATGCCACTGTGGTTCATTCCACTGTGGCGATCTATGACGAATAAAGGGACTAAGCTGAAGGAAAATGAATGAATTAAATCATCTAATTCTGCGATTGTGGATACACATATTGCGATATCGATGCTCAAACGATATATTGTTCAGCCCTACTTCTTACAAATAAATTAAGACTCATAGTCGCTGAAATTGATTTTAAACACACTTCAATCCATTCATTATCTTTCTTATTAAACAGGTAATTTACCATTAAAACTGCATCAAAATTAAGATTAAAAAATATATTAAAAGCTGTATCAAGTTCGTGATAAAACAATAATTCATAACCAAACAATCTATAAACTGCTCAAAAATTGTGTGTCTGACCAACTTCCGTTTTTTTTTTTTGGCTTACTGCCTATTTTTTTTACTTCTTCATGTAGTGGCGCAGTAGGTAGTGCTGTCGCCTCACAGTAAGAAGGTCGCTGGGTCGCTGGTTCGAGCCTCGCCTCAGTTGGCGTTTCTGTGTGGAGTTTGCATGCTCTCCCTGCGTTCGCATGGGTTTCCTCCAGGTGCTCCGCTTTCCCCCACAGTCCAAAGATATGTGGTACAGGTGAATTGGGTAGGCTAAACTGTCCGTAGAGTGTGTGTTTTAATGTGTGTGTGGATGTTTTCCAGAGATGGGTTGCGGCTCCAAGACCATCCGCTGCATAAAAACGTGCTGGATAAGTTGGCAGTTCATTCCGCTGTGGCAACCCAGGATTATTAAAGGGACTAAGTCGACAAGAAAATGCATGAATGAATGATATATTGTGCACTCCCAGTGATAATAGTGTGTAGTTGTACTCACAGGCATGGTCTGACTGCCGTGAAGGCCGCCGATGGCAGACTGAGCCTCAGTGTGTGTCGAAAACTTTACAAAGGCACAACCTGAAAACAAACACACACAATAATGAGGAGGTCATCGTGTACCCAGCACCGCAGGTGAGAAAATAAAACACTTTAATAAAATTAACCATTAGTTAGGTCATTTCACTTTTTCATTCTCTCAAATGTCTCTCGCGAGTGCCGTTCGCACCTGCGCTGTTCACCCGCTGGCCGCTGTCTGACTGACTGAATGATTGACTGTGCGACCGGCTAATCAGCTGACCCACCCTCCTCCCTTCCCCAAACCCAACCAATTTTTCCGATTGATCCGCCCGCCCGCTTACTTCCCTAAAAAAACGACAGTTTACAAAAGCTGTTTAGAAAAAAAAAAGCCCTCATCTGATTTATTTTTTACCACGTTTTCGGATTTCACCACATTCTCACCCTGTTATGAACTCAATCACTTTATTTTTTTGATTTTGTTTTTGTCTTACTTGATTTCCGAAACCGCTCTTCTCCAGACTCGAAACTGGTCGTCGTGGTCAGCTCCTCTTTGCATTTCAAGTCTGGCGACGTACACGATGAGCTGACTGGACAAACTGGTTGTGGCGGAAAAGCCCTCCACACGGAGGTAAACGGTCACCCGTTGAGCGCGAAAGGGAACGGCGTAATACCGTCCCGTAGGGTTCGCTTAAAAAAATTTAATGCAGCCATATGTACCTCCCAGGACGTATTTCGCTGTCTCCAGAAACGTCCACGCAACTACGTTTTCCGAATGAGCCTGGGTTGGAATTATAAGGTTCTATCTGAAATTTTTGTCAAAATTGCGGCATTTTAAAATGACTTCATTTAGATTTTGTGTTTTTTCCACTTGTCTCCTCATTCATTTAACTGTTTTTGTTTATGAGCTTACTCGACGAGCATGAGCAAATGGGTTGCAATTACTTTTCTTTCACAGGACTTTTCATGCTCAACACAATAAAGATTTACCTTTTTTTTTTTCTCAGGCCACACCAAACAAATTATTTCCTTGCCACAAATTTTAAATAATGTGTCAAAACAAGTTGAAAACACTTTTATTCAACAAAACAGCTGACATTTAAAAAAAAATATTCTCACGCATTCAAAACTATGCTCACAGTGGTCTGTTCTGGCTCAAGGTCCCAGATCACCAGTTAACTATGCATACAACAACATATTAAAGCAATAATATTGTAAAGGATGATTATTAAACTATAGTAACAAAAATAGCAGCAAGCAAAAGAAAGCAGGTAAAAAACATTCTGTGTGCGATAATGAAAGGATTATAACATGGTTAATGTGAGGCAAATTAATAATTTGTTGAAAGACGTTTGATGCATGGCAATGTTTTCCTTCTAGCATTTTGGACTATCTAAAGGAATGAGGTGTTTTTTTTTGTTTTCCTCCATGTAAATTTTTCAGATTGAAAATTGTTGATATGTCTGTTGCTCCCCCTCCCCTGTTTGTTTGAATGTCTTTTGTTTTGTTAATCTAAAGTCAATAAATCGTTGATCATAAAAAAAAAAAAAAACAGAATGGTCAAGGTGAAAGCGACAACAACTGCTGCTGCTTACAAAGATTCTCGAGCCCTTGAAGGACTGTGGGTGCATGAGCGTTGCACTAGTTTCATATTCAAGCACGGTTGCTTTGAGTGAGGAAATGGCACTGGAGATTTTAAACACTCGCGCTCATCAAATCAACTGTGCGTGCTACACTAAGCCCTCAACAGTGAGTGAGGAAAGTCCACTCTCACTGTGTGCTTCATCCTCTCATTCCTTATTCACATGCTTTCCTTTGCTCGCGCGAAAAGCTGTTTTTATCAGTTGTGCTGCTTCTCGATTCTAAGATCACATTTGTACGCATTTAGACAAACGGTCATAAACGAACAGTCTAATCTGTAGTAGCGACAAGCCAGTACTGAGTTTCAGCCAGCCAAAGGGCCCTATCATACACCCAACGCAATGTGGCGCAAGGCGTGGCGCAATACTTGTTTGCTAGTTTCAGCTTGGCGCAAGAGTCGTTTTGAGGCGTTGCGCAACACTCTTTAAATAGCAAATGCATTTGCGCTCTTATGTGCGCCCATAGGCGTTCTGGTCTAAAAAGGAAGGCGTTCTGAGGCGCATTGCTGGCGCGTTGCTATTTTGAGAAACTATAATAGATTTTTCATTAGACCAAAACAAACCCGGTCTAAACTCCAGCCTCGCTTACGCACTGCTTAATAGCCTACACACAAGATGTAGAGCAATAAGCAAATATCTTTACATATGAAAAAAATAAAATATTAAGGATAGGCCTATATATAGGATATAATAAGAATATATATATAGGATATAAATATAAAGGATTAAAATGTTACAAAACATACTATTTTCTAGCCTACATAAATATGAAAAATCACTGCTTTTATGCCTTCTTCATCTGGGGAGGCTTTTTCAGTTAATTCATAACAATTTGCTTTTGTATAATGTTATTATTGTTAGCAGTATTATTTATTATATCCATATTTATATTTGTTTTATTAAAAACCAGCTTAGATTTGCCCACCTGTCAGGTTTTAGACCATATGGGGGACAGCATGTGTTTTAGGATATAACTCAGGTTTTTGAACACACTTCATTATTATTGTTCATTTATTCGTTTGCTGGAAATTAGAACTGAATTTAGAAATAGTTTTGAAACAAACATTTGCGCTTAACAAACGAAATTAATTATTTATGGGCTAATTGATGTCTGTGCGAAAAAGGTTTCCCTATCCAAGAGCGAAAATGAAAGTAGATCGATTATCTCTCATTCTTGCGCGGTAGATCCTCTGTTTAACTGTTATCTGTTAAAAAACTGTTAACTGTTAACTGTTTGCTTGTGAAATGCTCAGTTTTTCCACTTCCACTTACTTTACCTCCTATAAATAGCGAATGAGCTTATGGCGCGATGCAGCTGACTCTTAAAGGGAATGGGAGATGAGACTCTGATTGTTTTATTCTCAGAACACACCTATAACTCATTAAGAAAATAAACTCAACACTTTTAGACCATGCGCCACAGCGCAAAGCGGATTTTCCCGTCCTTAAATTAGTAAATAAGGATTCTGACACTGACACTGGCTGTCTAACCTGCCACAATTCTATCTACCCGCATTTGGTAGGTGTTAATGTAAAGCCCTGTTTATATTACTTGCTAATTAATGTCCACCTCATGTGGAACTCTGAATCTGCATCTCATTTTGGAGTCTGCTACTGTCCACTGGAGGTCGCATTTTGGTTCATGGACACTTACTTTGAATGCCTTTCTGAATGAATGAATCAAATACACTGTTTTCCCACAAGGCAACCGGGCATGCTGAAACTTAATTGGCTAAACTGGCAGTGAGAGGGTTAAAAGAACTAAAACAAAGGCAGATGTCCGCCACGTAACGCACATTTTCAAAGCAGAATATAAAACATTGTTTTTCAAATAAACAAGAATGTTCACTTAGCATGTTTCTTAAATATCTGCAAACATAATTTAGTATTTTTATGCTTTAGTAGAGTTAAAAACGTACACACAGCACATTTCAATGTTAAACTATGTCTAATACATACTGTACAAGTATTGCTTATTATTAGTTAATGTTGCTAAATACATGAACTGATGAAATCTTATTGTGAAGTGTACCCAAACTAAAAACAACAACACCAGTATCTCAGTGAGTGTACAGTATGACATGCGCCAGGTTTTACAGGGTTAAACAGATTCAGTGCAGTGCGAGGTCATGTGACCAAACAGATCTGCTGATCATCAAATCTTCATGACTTCATGTTGAGTTGCGTCTCTTCTCTCTTCACACTTTTCAAACACCATTGACCTTTTCTAACCCGCTTTCCCTATGAGCTCAGTTAATGGACACGGCGATCGCAGTTTGCTGTAAATAATTCCTATCTGCTGCGTTTCAGAGGAGAAACTTCTCCATAACACATTCTGACAGGTTAATGCTGAGAAGCGCCATCACAAAGTGTATGTGTGTTTGAAAAGACTAAGACTGTAAAAAACTGCACACAGTCGGTTTGTGCTGGGGTGTTATGCTTTACTGGTGATGCTCAAACCAATTAACTATTCTTATTACTTAGTGTCAGAGTCATTGTAAACAATATTAATTTTAATTTTTGTGTGTCAGAACAGTTTATAACCAAAATTAACATAAAAATACGTACAATTTAAATGTCATCAAGGGAATCCGAACTTGTATAGTCAAAAGGTTCAGCATAATTATCACTTGCCTTATCTAACTGAGCTATTCAGGACTACACATGTCAGAGTCGGTTTTAGTATCTTTAGTCAAACCAAGCGACAACTCCCCGCTCTCCCTCGATATAACTAAATCTGCAACTCATCGACTCGCCTTGGGGGGCTGGCTCCAGGAAATCCAGATGATTTCTCACTGCAATGGTAAATTGGCCAATTTTACAGCCGATGAAACATGTTTACAGCCTCGTACAAAAGATGGCTTTCGTGCATATAACTAATATTACTCTTCATGAAAACTGTGATGGATGGGTTGGGGGGGGGGGGGGGGGGGGGGGTTATAACTCATCCAGTTCATTTTTATTAAGTTATATTAAAGGCTGATTTATTCTTCTGGGTCAAACACCAGCGTATGCTACGGCGCTGACGCATAGCCCTTCGCCGTGGCCGTCGGCGTCACTGACGTGCACCTCTCAAAAAATATAACTACACGTCGCAACAACGCGTAGCGTAAGCTCTGTGATTGGTCGGCTTGGTAGCGCTGACGAGTCTGGGCGGTACCGAGAGCCGCGCGAATGGCGCGAGCGATTGTTTACAAGTGTGGAGTCCCGTGAAGGAGCTCCGGATGGAAAGTTTTGTTTTGTGTTTACCTCATAGTTAAAGTTGTTGCACGTCCGCCGGTTCCTGCCTCAAAATGAGCGAGTTTGAGTCACTAGTACAACCACGAAGTGTTCAGGAAAAGCAAAACAGAAGCGAAGAAACTCGACGCAGAGGAACATTTACACCTCACTGCCCACTAGCGTTTTGAAAGTGTAATGCAGCCCAACAGAGACAGCGTGCAGAAGTATGAATGCACAGCTGCGCGCGTTGCCTGCGCCGTGAGTTACGCCGGTCACTTGACGCAGAAGTATAAACCAGGCTTAAGTCTGCATAATTAAGGGTGTGGCCACTTGAGTGACAGCCAAGTCTTGCTGCTTGCTGTCTCGTCACCTCAGCTGATTCCAGCTGATTAGATGCTGAACCTGGCATATACATCGTATATTTGTTTTGTTTTATGTTTCTTTACACAGTCTATTGCCTTAATTGTGCTCACAAACCGTTCAAGTTGCCTCCATTTCCCAGGTGAGTGAAATTACATACTTACATACCATCTGTATAAATGTATTTGTTTTATTTAAGATCATTTATGATTTTCTTTAGACCTGTAATGCACTCCAGAATCTGACAGATTGCTTAGTTGTAGGCTCTAGAAAAGTCCTCTGAAACGTTGTCATACAGTGGTGTGCCTGCAGTGTTTTTATAAGTCTAAATACTTGTTTGATGTTGTATACAGCCAAGCACATGTGGTCAGAACACAAACGAGTCGCAGTAATGAAGTATTAAGTGTTTCTCCCAAAGAAAAGCGTCTCTAAGCAAAATGCTAGCATGCGTCTGTAGCTCCGCTCAAACTTCGCCTTTTTGCCCTTGTTTGGTATCCCAGAATCGGTGCAATGGCGTGCGAACAAAATGGCGACAATTAGCCACGCCTACTGATAGCTTCAATTGTGTTCTTCAGAAAATAATGGGTGACGTCACAGATACTACATACATATGTTTTACAGTCTATAGTCAAACCATATGTTTTACTTTAGTATATTTGGTGTGTTATAAAACATCTCAATTAAAAAACTTTTTTTTAAGTAATTAGAGTATTACATGGAACATATAAGAGGAACAGGGGTTTGTCATCACACACGAGTCCAAAGGCACAAGATAACAAGAGTCTACAACTGTAAAATAGCATAGTTTTACCAATTGCAATAAATTGTGACACATTACTTAACATTAACAGTCCTTGGTAGCTCAGTTTGATGGATCATGTCTCGTTTTATGATGTCTCTTGCCTCTTGTCTTTGCGAGTCCGAATCCTATGTACAAGTTTTGTTTATTTAGCCTAATTTTTGATTTTCTTAAAAAGAAACAATAGGGGAGAGACTGCGATTTATTACGTACGCTATTTAGTGAAAAATTGTTTTGTCATTCAGAGCTATTGTGAGAAAACACTAGCGTGTGAGTTTGTGGACACAGGTTCACATGAGTCCACGGGACACAAGTTAACACGAGTCTAAAGGCACAAGTTAACATGAGTCTGCAACTATATATATATATATATATATATATATATATATATATATATATATATTAGGGATGAAACGGTATTGTAAATACCGTCATACCGCAATATTATTTTTTTCCGTTATTACCGTAGTCGCATGACTCTGTAAAACTATAGGTCTTCTGAGAAAATTTGCTCAGGCGAATGAAGCGAACGGGAGGTAGCGAAAACTATAATTCCCATCAGCCCAGGGGTGGCCATCATCCCTTGCGGTCTGTTGTCGCTACAGATACAGTAATGCGGAAATGGAGTGTGCTGCTAGAAGCGGGCATCAAAAAGAGCTGGAAATGATCGAACCTGAAGCGGGTGTTGTCGCCGCACGCGTACTGAATAGCGGTGTTGTTGCGCGCATTCTGATCAGCTGTGTTGTCGCGCGCATACTGAATAGCGGTGTTGTCGCGCGCGTTCTGATCAGCTGTGTTGTCGCGCGCGTACTGAATAGCGGTGTTGTTGCGCGCGTTCTGATCAGCTGTGTTGTCGCGCGCGTACTGTAAAGCGGGGAGGGGGGGGGGGGTTGAGCACGCATACTCAAGAGCGGTGTTGTCGCGCGCCTACTGTAGGGCGGGACGGAGGGTGTGACACAGCACACTGTTCAGATTGATACAGACATGAGACCTCTATCTCACTCATGGTTTGTCCTCTCAAGTGGGGGAAAGACAATGCACAACGTTACCCACTGCTGTCAACCTGGGCCAAGTCATATCTCTCTGTCCAAGAAACCTCAGTCCCAAATGAGAGGGTTTTTTCTGTTGCAGGGGACATTGTAAATACCCAGAGATACCAGCTTTTACCAGATTATATTTATATGATAATTTTCCTTTAAACCCATCTCTATCTAAGTGAGTGAGTGATTAAATGTTGAATGTGATGAGTTTTCAACAATACTACATTGAAACTTTATTTTTTACATGGTTTAATAATTTTTTGTTATTAAAATTGAAAATTGACACTTTTGGCACTTTTTTGGAGTATTTTCATAAGTTTTGTTTTTTCCTGTAAATGATTCAATAAATACCGTACCGTGACATTCATACCGAGGTATTACCGTACCGTGAAATTCTGATACCGTTACATCCCTAATATATATATATATATATATATATATATATATATATATATATATATATATATATATATATATATATATATATATATATATATATATAAAAGATATGGTTTGACTAATAATATCAAAATCGACTCTGACATGTGTAGTCCTGAAAAGCTCAGTTAGATAAGTCAAGTAATAATTGTGCTGAACCTTTTAACTATACGAATCCCATTGATGACATTTAAATTGTAAGTATTTTTATGTTTATTTTGGTTCTAAACTGTTCTGCCACACAAATATTAAAATTAATATTGTTTACAATGAAACTGGCACCAAGTAATAAGAATATTTATTTGGTATGGGCATGTTTTGTATCTGTGATAAAGTGACGATTCTGCCAATAGGCACATGTGAATAGTTCTGGAAAGAGTCACCAGTTAACACGGACACCAGTTAAACCGTAACAGAGCCAACACAAAGGAATTAAGTTAGTTTATGAGTTTCACAAATTTAAGTGGATTGAACGAAAAATAATTATGTGGCGACCCTTGATAAATAAGCGACTAAGCTGAAGGAAAATGAATGAATGAATGAACATTTCTTCTTTTTTTAATGAAAAATGACTGTGGACACTCCCTTTGAGCCTGTTTTTCTTTGACTGATCAATACCTCTGATAGATTTACCAAGCAGCAAAAAAGTACCTCACTCACTTGTTTCTTTTACTCCTTCAATGGAATATTGAGGCTATAGGGGGCAATTTCAGATACAGCATAAATGAAAGCACTCAAGGTTGATCTGTTTGTTTGCTTCGACTTTGTGTTTTTTACAGCTGAAGGTCGCTTCTCAAATTTAAAATGCATCTTAGACTGTACTATAAAAGGACATGTGGATGTCTGTCATTCACCAGCGAGCACATTAAATCTGCCTTGAACACAGACGAGAGAGATAAAAGCAGGAACTGAATCTCACCTTTACTGTTTCCATCAGGGCCTCGTAATACGGTGCACTCCTCGATGACTCCGTAGGGCTCGAAGAGACGGTACACATCCTCTTCAGTCTGCTGCTTATTCAGCATGCCCACAAACAGCTTCCGGTCCTCTGAAATACACAAACACACAACCACAATATAAACGGTACTGTATTGACCTAATTCTTGATGTATTAGCAGGCACAGCCATTGGAATTTTTACAACCCAGGCTCATTGTGGATACATACCCCTGTATACTTTTTTGGAGGGTCCAAAATACATCCCAGGAGGTACGGTTTTTAGCAGTTTATGTTTTTGTAAATCCACCAGAGATGTACGCTTTGTACAAGCTGTGTACACTTTTTTTAGATTTCAAATTTCTCTCAAGAGTGCCATTCGCACATGCTCTTCTCGCGCAAATTCACCAGAGGCCGCTGTTGACTGACTTACCGATCAACTGACCCAACCTCCTCCTTACCTAAACCCAACCGACAGTGTTTTTAAAAGCACAGATTGACCCACCCACCGCCTTCCCTAAACCTAATTGATAGTGCTTTAAAAAACACAGATTGACCCACCCACTGCCTTCCCTAAACTTAACTGATAGTGCTTTCAAAACCACCTTGTGACCCACCCACCGCCTTTCTTGAACCCAACTGACAGCGTTTTCAAAAACACCGTTTGACCCACCCACCGCCTTCCCTAAACCTTACTGATAGTGCTTTAAAAAACACAGATTGACCCACCCACTGCCTTCCCTAAACCCAACTGATAGTGTTTTCAAAACCACCGATTGACCCGCCCACCACCTTCCCTAAACCCAACCAACAGTGTTTTCAAAAGTACCGACACCCACTGCCTTTCCTAAGCCCAATGTCACATAACCGGCAATCTGTTCCTGAAAGATCGCTGGCATACTACACATGCCATTCATGAACTACATATCCCAGCATGCCTTTGCACAAACCAGTCCCCATTAATCACACACAGCTGAATATTGTCATCATCAATTGTTTGGACTATTTATACACATTGCACACACCAGTCAATGCGGAATCTTTGTTTGTCAGTACTTGTATGGTTTCAGTGAGTGTCGTCCTGTTTATAGTTTTTCTAGTTATGTTTTGATGATTGTTTTGTAACTTTTTGTACTTTGATCATCGCTTTGTTTTTGCATTTTTCAATGCCCTTCATGATACCTGAGTTCTTGTTTTTTGACCTCATTTGTTTTTGCCTGCACGAATAATCTTTTTCATTAAAAATGTAAAAATGTACCGATGTTACTATACTTGTGGGGACATTTGGTCTTTACATTGTAAGAAATACAAGGTACACACAAACCAGCGCGCACACACACACACATATACACACACTTTATACTTCTGATGGAAACAGTAAAGGCTGCACATCCATCACTAATCTCTCCTCAGGGATGTTTTACGACTGTGGAGCTTCACTTAGAGCTATAGTGAACACACACACACACACACACACACACACACACACACACACACACACACACACACTGCACACATACACACGTACACATAACATTCATTTAAATTTGGTCATATTTTGTTTCTTTGCTCTCTCGTCTCTCGTCTCTCTCTCTCTCTGTATATATACAAATATATATATATATATATATATATATATATATATATATATATATATATATATATATATATATATATATATATATACAGTTGAAGTCAGAATTATTATTAAAATTATTTATTTTTTTCCCCAATTTCTGTTTAATGGAGGGAAGATTGTTTCAGCACATTTCTAAGCATAATAGTTTTAAAAACCTATTTCTAATAACTGATTTATTTTATCTTTGTCATGATGACAGTAAATAATATTTTACTTGATATTTTTTTATTGTCATATTTTATTTTATTTAAATGTATACATTTAATTTATTTGTTTCAATGTTTACTTTAAAGCACATCAGAAAAAATGTTTTATTTTTTTTTATTTTTGGTGATACGTTGTATGTTATTTTAAGGAAAAATAATTGATACACTATTAACACTATTACCAAACCATTAACTGTGATTTCTAGTTCAATAAACTCCTGATTTGCTGCTTATAATAGAATGTAGTAGTTGGATTATACATTAGGTACACTGTAAAAAAAAATATATAATTAAAATTTTTTTTTGCTGGGGTGTGGGAAATGAACCATAAAGGTAACAGCCATTAAATTACAGAAATGTACTGTAAAATAACAGAGGTGGAATTACAGAAATTTATCAGACATTAAAATGTAAGTCAATTTCTGCAATTTAATGTCCATTATTTTACAGTAAAGTTCTGTAATTTAACAGCGGTTATTTAAGTTTTTTTCTCCCAGCAAATATACCTTAAAATTACGGATTCTTTTTAACAGTGTGGGATTAGATATGTAGAATAAGATCATGCAAAATATGCACTTTATAAGTAACAATAAACAGCCAATATATCAATAATAGGCAGGTAATAAGCTATTAATTAATATTAAGAATAGGTACTTAAAGGTGATGTGTGTAAGTTTTTGAATTTTATAAAGCATAAAAAATACCATATTATGTCTGCAGATATTTCAGACACATGCTAAATGAACATTCTTATTTATTTAAAAAACAATGCTGAAGTCAGATATTCTGCTTTGAAAAATTACGTGCCGAAAGTTCTGTCTTTGTTTTGGTTCTTTTGACCCACCCAATGTCAGTTTAGCCAATTATATTTCAGCACCCTGGGTTGCCTTGGTGGAAAACAGCGTATTTCAATAATTCCGTCATGAAGGCTATGAAAATATGCATCTGTGACCTAAATGTGACCTCCGGTGGACAGTAGCAGCCTCCAAAATGAGACACAGATTCAGAGATCCATATAAGGTGGATATTAGTTAACAAACAATATAAATTTTACGAATGTAAACATTTGGCAAGCAGGTTATATTTCATTCCTGTGTCCCAACAACACGGTACCTGATGAGATTTGCAGTAATGAGCAATTTTACATCAGACAAAACATGACAGAAATGTAAATTCAGCCATTCAGAAGCACAAAATAGTGCAATCACTGCACTCTTACAAAATAGTAAGGTTTATAGTCTAATTAATACATATTAAACCTCTTTAACATGATTAAATGTAGATGCTGAATCACTGATATGTGTAGGTTTGCAGTGTTGGAGTCACAGTTCTGAAATTCAATTTCAAACAGTTTATTTTTATTTTTAGGATCTGAGGTGAACTATCTGCTGCTGCTTTCAGTAGTATGGCAATAAATATTATCTAAAATGGCATTCAAGCTCACATTATTAGCATTTAACACTGAATAAAGCACATGAGGTGTACCTGAGGCGATCACTATCAGTTTATCCTGTTGTAATAGAAATAGAAGCCGTTTCTACAATATAAATTCCAGGCATTGCTTAGGACAAAAACTTATTTTAATATGGAGAATATTCCTTCTATCGATTGCCGTTGCTTTTATTTAGAACATGACCTAAATTAGCCTTTAGTCTTTATAGTCAGGCACACTACTGTTGATGTCGTCAATCTGGCAACCTGCGCTTGCATGTGTTTTGAACCAGGAGTGCAATACCTAGTTCAACCACTGGGAGTCAAACCTACATACTGCACCTTTAAACTAAAGTGTTTATATATATATATTTTAATGCACACATTTCAACAGTCCAGAATCTCCAACAAAATTAGTGCTATCCTTAAACTGTAGTGTGTTCGTGAGCTGAAGTAGAAAACACACACACACAGCACAGCACAGCACAGCATGTTTAAAACAACAGACTCTGGGCACTGAAACGCTCATACATACAAATATCTCACAGCGACACACGCTTTTACCAGCCCAACACACACACACACTCCCATTGCTGTTTACCCTTCAATCGCAGTTGCATCATCTGTGTGTGTGTGTGTGTGTGTGTGTATGCTGCTGGTTTCATAGTATTGCAGTTGAGTTGCAGTGCTGTGGATCTCTGACCTGTAGCCTTCAATGAGAGACAAGCACACACATTCACGCACACACGCACACGCACACACACCGCCTGAAACACAGGCAATATGCTGAAATTCAGCAGGGTTCAGCTGTCGCTCTCTAGAAAAAGGCCTGCAGGAACAGAAATCAGAGTGGAATATCTTTATTATCTCCATTGCTTCTCTTCGACAGCAGTGCAGATGAATGAAGAACAAATCAAATAAATCATGTTTGCTTCAGTTTCTTGTTCATCATAAATGGAGATTTCAGTTTCAATAATTTCGCTTTGCACTGTAAAAATGGAGTGGTTGGCACAATCACTTTACAGCATGAAGGTCGCTGGTTTGAGCCTCAGCTGGCTCACTTGGCATTCCTGTGTGGAGTTTCATCGGTGTGCTCCGGTTTACCTCACAGTCCAAACACATGCGTTATAGGTGAATTGGGTAAGCTAAATTGTCCGTAGTGTATGAGTGTTAATGAGTTTGTATGGCTGTTTCCCAGTGATGGGTTGCAGCTGCAAGGGCATCCACTGCGTAACACATATGCTGGATAAGTTGGTGGTTCATTCCGCTGTGGCGACCCCATTTCAATAAAGGGACTAAGCCGGAACGAACATGAATGAATGAATGAATGAACTGTATGTGCATATTGATAAAATGATGTCAACTTCACAGTTTTTAACAAGTTACAATGAGTGTACTCACTTTTTAAGTAAAGTCAATGTAATTTACGTTATCATTTTTATTGCATTTTATTTTATTAAAAAGTTTTATGTTTTTTTTTACATTTTATTTGATCATATTGCTTAATTTTTTTCATTTTTCCTTTCTTTTTAATCATTTTATTATTTATTTATAATTATTTATTATTTATTTATTATTTTAGTACTTCAACTTACAATGTTCATGTAACAACTTAAACTTAAAAAGTATATGGGCTCTGTTTTGACGATCCATGCGCAAAGTCTAAAGCGCAGGGCGCAAAAGCAGTAATATATATATATTAATAAATTTAACTTTTAGTTATCTTGTTACACTATTTAATTTATATACATATATTTATATAATATATAAAACACATAATATATATTTTATACTGTATGTACACACAGTGCTTAGCATATATGAGTATATTTGTGCATATACATTGCTTTAGTCAGTACTGAAGCCAAAACTAGAGCTCATCTAACAAAATAACTGATAACGATATGATAACGATACAATGACAAGTGCACCCAAATTTATA